AGCACGCGCGTGCCCGCGCGCGCCTGGCGGGACTCGCTCCCTCGTCCGTCCCTCCCCGTCTTCATTCATGAGTGTTTCCACTCGGCGCAGGCGGGCGCTAGCGGGATGTGGGCGCTGAGCTCACAACTGTGGCGGGTCACGTGGGCGCAGACGGAGCAGAGGGGGTCAGGACCCTGACGGGAGGCGGGGGCCTCCCCGCGGAAGCGATGCGGAGACAGAACTGGTGAGGAGGAAGCCCGGTCGGACGCGGAGGGGCGCTCCAGGCCAGGCCGCCGGCGCAGTCGATGCAGAGGCCCCAGGGGAGGATGGGCGAGGGGCACAGAAGGGCCTCGGACGTTAACTTCGGCGCCAGGGTTGCTGGGAGGCTGTCCCAGACCGAGGGCTCCCCCTTGGGGAGGAGAATCAGACCCGGCCTCTGGCTGACCTGAGGACGGGAGGGCTGGTGGATGGAGGCGGAGGAGAGGTGGACCCCAAAGGGACCAGCACCTCCTGGGAACAAGCCCCCCTTCCCCGTGGAGGACTAGGGAGGCCCTGCTCCCCGCCATGGGTTGGAGGAAAGCTGGCTCTCCTGAGTTTGACCCTTCTGGTCTGACACGGGGTTGGGGGTGAGCGTGAGGGCCATTGCTAGCAGTGAAGAGCCAGCCCGGAGAACTCAGCAGAGGCTCTGGGCCCCTTGGCTGCGCCCATGGGAGACACTGAGTCCTGATGTGGCCCCACGTGGGGAGTGTGAGACTGAGACGGTGAACAGCTGAAGTGAGCACAGTTCCACAGGATATTAACCCGGCTCCTGGATCCCACCATGCCTGAAGACAGACAAGTTCTGCTTTCATGAGCAAATAAACTCCCTGCTGCTTCAGTCTGACAGAAGAGGTTTTCTGCCCCATTCTGCACCAGCCAAGGTCTCAAGGATCACAGAGCCAGACAGGACCCTGGCAAGGGTGCCCTCCTCCAGCTGCCCCACTCCCTCTACTAGGGGGCCACTACCTGTCCCCAAGTCTCCTTCTCCATCTCACAAGCTGTGTGGCTTTGGGCAAGTTACTTCAGCTCTCTGGCCTTGTTCTCTCATCTAACTGGGGATGGCATCACCCCCTCAGTGGTAACCGTGTCAGACCCAGGCGCAGCACCTGGCAATGCGCTCTTCAATGCCAGTGGGACAGGTGGCCTCCCCCAGGGGGCCTAGCCCTGTGTCGCTGCTCTGCCCCGTGTTCAGCACAGGGCCTGGTGCCACACCATGGCCCTTGGGGAGCCTCTTGTCCTCACATATGGAAGTGCAGGGCCCTGGCAGGTCAGCATTCCCTGCTCCCCTGGTCACGCTGCTGTGTCCCTGACAAGGGCCACTGGCCATCCCTGAGTAGGAGTAGGGCTCGACGCTATGACACACAGCCTCACACAACCTTTTGTCCCACTTTTTTTTTTTTAAATTAAAACAGCAGTCAGGTAACTGTCCCAACCTATGAGGGACAGGACCTGGGATGGGAAGTTCTATCTTCAAAAAAATATATTTTCTCTCTTTTTTTTAAACAATACCAAAAGCAAATCCACAGCCCCTGCTGAGCCGGTCTCCAGGAAGAGTGAGCTGGATGGCTCCCCTAGCACCTCTCTGAGCAGAGACCTTGGGCCCACCCCCCTAGACCCAGCCTGAGGAGAGAGGGTGGGTCTTGGCCTGCTGGTCCCCTCAAAGGTGACAGAAAAGTGATCGGCTCCAAACCATGCAAGAAAAACCAGCCAAACCCACAAAGCGAAAGAAAAAAAATCAAGAGGATAAATTAAAAAAAAAAGTGAAACAATACCCACAGAGGCAGCAGGTGGGGGCTGGGCGACCCCAGTGCCCTCAGAGGTCGTTGCCCAGTGCTGGGGTGAAGGCCTCGGCGGCCCTGCCATCTGCCTCATGGGGGCTCCGGGATTCACGTGGCTCATCCCCCATCGTGTCCCCAACCAATGCCGGGACAGAGGTGTGGCCACCCTGGGCCAAGTGTGCAAAGTCCATTCAGTGGAGAGATTAAAAAAATATACAACTCGGGCGGCATCTAGGGCTGGGCCAAGGCAGTGGCCCGCACAAGGCACCACTGCCTTCTCTCTGAGGGGCGTCGTGCCCTCAAGTCCAGGGTCTCGGGGTCCTTGGAGCAGCGGGGGCAGAGGCACTGGGGCCCCGATGGCCTGGTTCTTTGGCACTGTTGCCGGTCAGGCAGGAGCAGTCCTCCTGGTTCCTCCTGGACGTCCAAGGCCAGGGTGGCAGTAGCTTATGGGTGTGAGCAAGCACTGCCCAGCAGAGGGCTGCAGGGCGCCGTGGGGCCGGAGTGGGGCCCAAGGCCCCACCCCTACGAATCCTCTCCCAGGATCTCCTTCACAAAGGCAGCAATGTCGGTCTTCTTGGTTTGGTGCGAGGTGAAGAAAGGGTGTTCCTGGTGGGGACAGAAGGCAGTCACCTTGGAGGGGGCAAGGCAGAGGCACCCGCACCTGCTCCTCCTGCCAAGGAGACTCCTAGTCATCCTTCTAGGACCTCTGTCCCCAGGAAGCCCACCTGTCAGAGACAGCGCTGACGGCTTCCTCCTCCACCCTCCCACAGCCACCCTCGCTCACTGTTCCCACATCTGCCAGGACTCTGCTCACAGCAGACCTTCACTGGGAATGCCCTTTCCACCAGCAGGTAAACCCGTACTCATCCTTCTAGGCCCAGTTCCCTGTAGAGCCTTCCTGATGTCTCCAAAGAAAACAGACCACCTGCCCCCCTTGCCCTCTGGGCCATCGGTCCTAGCACTGACTGTGTGCCCCTCCACAGGGCCTGGCATGGAGGAGGGAGCAGGAAGCCAGGGTGTGTGTGAGTGAATAAGTGACTGAGTTCCTAAAAGAAGCCACGCAGAGGCCGCCAGAAGAGCTGCCCACCTCTGGGCGTGGGCGCAGCCTCTCCCAGAGCCCCGCCCAGACTCACCATCAGCTCCAGGTAGCTCATGCGCTCCGCGGGGTTCTTTCTCAGGCTAGGAGAGAACAGGACAGGCTGGGGCCAGGCTGGTAGGGAAGAAGTTAGTCCAGGCCGCAGTCCAGCCAAGCCAGGCTGGGCTCAACCCTTCCCCAGGGGCTCCTGGGGCTCAGGGAAAAAGCAACTGGGCTGTCCTAGGGGACTCCTAAGGGACAAGTGGGATACATGGTGCAAACTAGAGACTTGGACCAAGTTTCCTTGCTTCTTGGGGTGTCAGCTTTCTTGTTTCTATAGTGACCTGGGAAATTTCCAATGATCCCAAGGCCAAAATGCTACTGTTAACAATCATACACTTCGTATCCTTAATCAGAAGGGAAGTTCCTTGTCACAGGTGCTGGGAGAGGAAGACTCTGTCTGCCAGCCTCACTTGTTTCCAGCCTTTCTTATTTTCCAGTGAAAGAAATAAAGGCTACGAATTTTCCTCTGAGTATCTTTGGCCACAACCAATAGATGTCCATATACCATGTTCTCATTGACTTCACTTCTGACTAGTTTGTAACTTTATTTTTTCAATCTTTCTTGTAACCCAAGAGTGCAGAAGAATTTACTTTTAATTTCCAAGTAGCTTTTTTCTCTTCAGCTGTGGATTTCCTGTTTTATTTCATTACAGTCAGAGAACATGGCATATGTAACTCTGCCTTCTGCCTTTTTCCGTTTCCTTTGTAACCTCAAACATAATTAATTTTATAAGAACCCTGTGGGCATTCTTTTATTTGGTACAAAGTTCTAAACATCAACAAAAGCAAATCTGTTATGCATTTAATCCTCCATAAGATTTTTGTTTTCTTTTCCGACCTACCTGATCTGCCTGTTTCTAGAAGGGCTATATTATTCAAATCTCCCCCCCAGGACCAGTTTGTCAAATTCTCCTCGTGTTCTTACATATTTTGATGTTATGCTGTTTGGGGGTTATTTGCTAAAGGAGGAGGCCAGGCCCGGGAGGAGCTGGGATCTGGCCAGGACAGGGATGGTGCTGACCAGGGGTTGGGGAGACCCAGAGGCCCGGGCAGGGCTGAGACTCACCACTGTGCGGTGAAGTCCACAAACTCTGGGGAGAAACGGTCAGCTGGGAGCTGGGGGGATGGCTCCTCCACCACCTGCTTCAGCTGCTGGAACGGGGTCCCCCAGGACTCATAAGGAAACCGCAGAATGGCCATCTCAATCTGCAGCAGAGACAGTGGCACCGGGTCAGATGTACCCACACCCTGCGCCCAGAAGAGGCATCTACAGATCCTGCCTGTCCTGGCCCAGCGCCTGGAGCTGGACCCTGAGGCAGGTCAGGGGGCTGACATGTGCCCTCGGATCAAAGGTGGAAGCCAGGAGGACACCAGTACTCGGTTCCCCTGACCCAGCCAGCAGAGACTACGCCTAACGGAGCAAATCCAGCCCTTGGTTATGACTGACTTCGCTATTGTCAAGAAAACAATCTGAATTCAGAAGATTTGACATGAAAACCCACGGACCAGCTAACCTGGAAGAATCAGAGGAGCTGGAAACCCAGGGGCTGACTTGCGAGGCAGCAGTCAGCAAAGGAACCTAGACAGGCAACCAGCTTCGCTACTTGCCACAGGCCACTCCCTTCCCTAATGTCTCTACAATGTCTCAAGCATCTGCTGCCATTTATTTGGGTCGCTGTTATCACTGAAAGGGCAAACAGGAATGAAACGATTCTCATATGCTTGCAAAAGGCACGTTAGATCGTGAGGTCTGCCTCTGTCTCCTGAACTCTGCAGCAACCCACCAGTCCCATGAGGAAATGAAGTCTGCAGCCCTCTTCCTCCACAAGCCCCCAGCTGCCTGGCCACTGACACCTGTGAGGCCCACCTCCAGTGCCTCCCCACCCAGGAAGCCTTCCGGTTCTGCCCCCATCACTTTCTCCCTGACGCCCTGGCTTGCCACAAGGCAACCACGGCCTCATCTCTCATTCTAGACCCAGACCTCCCTGCCTCACCTGCAGGTAGCGGGAGTCATTTGTGGGAAAGGCTGGCTAGCTCACAGTAAACTCTGGGTTCTGATTCTGACTGCCAAGATGAAAAAACAGCAGCCCCGGGCCCTCTCCCTGACAGGTGATCACCGGAATGCACGGAAGAGACCTCACCTCAAGCAAACGCCTCGAGCTGGCGACTGGTGTCTGAACAGATCACTAGTTACCTTGCTAAGCAAAGCCCTTCCTGTCAGGCTGAAGGCCCCTTTCCAGCCGAGACATGAACACAGCCCCCACAGGAGGGCAGCACAGGGCAGCACAGGGCAGTGGGCGTGCGTGCGACCCTGTATTTTCGCAAGACGAAGTCGGCATGCTCTTTTCCTAGGGTTTCCACTGATCCCGACACGCAGAAGTGAGGACCCTACGTGGGCTGCAGGAAGGACCCAGGGGCCGCCAGAGTTTGTAAGCAGGAAAGCGGAGAAGTGTCCAAACCCTGGATCTGGTTGTCCTTCTAAAAAGCCGTGGGCACAGAGACACACGTACTGTCTCTGGAACAGTGAATGCTGAGAAGCAGTAAGAGTGTCCAGAGCCAGGAGCTGGCCTGCTTAGGTGGCAAGCCTCACTGTGACCGCAAGGACCACGCCCGCAACACCCCCAGGCAATGTTCCTGGGTCTGTTTGGGGCAATGCATCTACGGGCCACAGCTGTGTCCCGGACCCACAGGGAGCGACACAGGGTGGGCTCAGCGAGGGCCAAGGGACACCACCCGGAGGGCTGTGCCCCGGGACACAGGGCTTCAAACCAAAAGAAATCGAACGTGCCAGCTGGGCAGGTAGTGGCAGTTGTTGTGAGGCCTTTGAAGAGATGCCTACAGGGGTTTATAACGATCCGGGGGTCGTGCAGATACAGCTCAGTAGTAAAAGTGCGTGCTTAGCATCCATGAGGCCCTGGGTTCAGTCCCCCGCTCCTCCATTAAAAACAAATTAATTAATTAGTTAATTTTAAAAAAACCAATCCAGGGACACATGAATGATGTGATGCTAAGTGAAAAATATAATATAAATATAATAAAATATGTAAGTTTTTTAAAAAGAGATCTAAAGTCCAGAAAAAGTGCAAAGTTGGTCACAGTGACATTTTCTCTTCCACTTCCCCGTGTTTTTATGTTGTTTCTATTACTTTGCAACTTGTAGAGGGGAGTAACCTGCACTTCCACATCGAGTCTCCCCGTGGGCACGTGCAGACCCCCCCATCCAAAGGGGGACCTACTTCCTTGCACCTGGGCTGCCCATGACGTGCTCTGGCCAACAGGAGGCCTGGTGCCCAGTGGAAGCCAGCCACCACCTGAGACGCTCTCGAGAAGCACGTCCCCAGTGAAGCGCAGCAAGCAGACCCCACGTCCGTAAAGGCCTCTTGGACCTTGCAGCCCAGCCATGACCCGAGCCGTGACCCCAGCCTGACACCCCCCAACGCCAGGGGTGGGGTGGCGCAGAAGACCTGCCCAGACTATGGAAACATAAGAAATAGTAAACCATTGTTGGTTTAAGTCACTAGACTCTGGCATGGCTGTTACACATCGTTTGGTTAACAGAAACAAGGGCTTCACACACACTTGACCACTTTCCACAGACACATCAGAAGTCCTTGAGATGTGGCAGGTCCCCAACAGTGATGACACACAGGTTGGGGCAGCAGCGGGTGTGCATGTGCGTGTGCGAAGTGGCTGCGACAGGGCCTCTAACATCCAACCAGCTCTGTGTAGCTTGCAGACGTAGCAAGAATGCATTCTTTTTACTTTTTTAACTCAGGAATTGGAAAACTCATCTCAGCAGGCAGAGGAGCCACTTCAGACTCTTGACAATTCCTCTCCACGTCAAAGGAGAAAAGTTTAGTTGAAAAATAACACATCTGCCATATTAAGGAAAACTAAAGGTGTCATCCAATTCCACCTCTCTGATAAAATTCTTTTGATTCTGACTCCCTGTCATCGTGCACAGACACAGCTTATAAAGTCAGTCCGACAACAATGGTGAGGACGATGATGATGACAGCAGCAACATCAGTAAAATCCAAACACCTGTGCTGCCTGGCACTCCCACCTCCCACCCCCGGGTCTGGCCCCTGACACACAGGGCCCCCACCTCAGGCCCCAGACCTCGGGGCCCTGCCTCCTCCAGGCCGCCCTGCCCCAGTGACCCCTCCCCACACCCTCGCCAGGTATTCACCGTTCTGAGGGTTGACGGAACCCTGCCAACACTGACAGCCCGGGGCAGGGGCTGCATGGACCTGCGTTCTGGGCCCCTGGGACTCGAATCCTCCCACTTCCCTGTCCCAGCTTGGGGCCCAGGGTGGGCGTTCTAAATAAAGCCCAGGGACCAGACCCAGACCTCCACTGAGCCCTGACTCAGGCAGGGGTGGGAGTTCTGCCGAGTGGTTCTGGAAGCACCCAGCACCCCCCTACCAGGCCCTTGGAAAAGTCTGTGATCCCACAGGGAACATACTCCTTGCTGTGAAAATTGTTTAAGATTTTCACCATTTTGCTTTTGCAACAGTCTGTGTAGCAGAAGCTCACTTATCTGCGGTCGGCTGTGATTTCTCGACAAGCGCCATGCATCCAGCGGACAAGTTATTGCCACCGCAGAGAATGGACAAAGTTCACCTCACCCCAGGGAGGGTGTGACGTACCCACTGACACTCCTACAGACACCGCAACTTCCGATGACACATTTTCTTCTCAGACTGCGAAGCCCACATTCTTTCCCAAGGGTAGGCTATCTGACGGGCCCCCTGGAGCTCACAGACCGGGCACAGCCCCACCCCGGCCCCACCCGACCCGCAAGGCCCCCCAGTGGTACCATGGTGATGCCAAGACTCCACACGTCAGACTTGACGTTGTAGCCCTTCTGGTTCAGCTCTGGGTTGATCCTCTCTGGCTGTAAGAGGGACCAGGGAGGTGTGAGCACCCACCCCAGCGCTGGGGCCAGAGCAGGGGTCGCTCAAGCCCCTCGGCTGGCCTTGCCCACCCCCCTGCCCATCCCGCCTCCCCTGGGGCACATGAGGAAGCGGGGGTCAGCGAGGGGCAGGGGCTCAAAATGGAGACCCAAGCATGAGTTGCAGCTGCCCCGCCCGGGGGTCCCACCTTCAGGACTAGGGGAGGGTGGCACCCACACAGACCCCACCAGCCACCCCCTGAGGTGCCCACGAGACTCATCCAGACAGGCACCACAAGGCCAGCTACAAGGGGCAGAGAGGGCTACTTGGCAGGCTGGGCAGCCATCACCCCTCTGGCAGGAAACTCGGGTTCGGGGAGGCCTCATCCCGAGGGAAAGAGGACCATCGGGGTAGTTCTGTCAGGGGCATGCCCCCTTCTGCGGCCGGGAAGCACGCACAGCCATGTAGGGCTTGCAGCCAGCGTCCATTGTCTTGGCCACAGAGTCCACCAAGTAGCCACTGATCCCGAAGTCACACATCTTCACATGGCCTTCCTTGTTGATGAGAACGTTGGACGGCTTCACATCTGCCAGGGACAGCGCACGCCTTTCTCAGCTCCCGGTTGTGGGGGCAGGAGAGGGACTGAGGCCCCGAGAGGCCTCAGCCCAAGTCACAGGGCTGGTGGTGGCACAGCCAGGAGCCCTGGCCTCCAGCCACAGCGGGGAAGGAGGTCAGGGCTCCGAGGCTTTGCCCAGGACCATGTCTCTGCAGCCTCCTGGCTGGACTCGGCCTCCACTTCCTGGCACAACCTCTAGCTCTGGGGTCCGCGCCACTGACAGCGTGAGCACCCAGAAACCACCTGGCGTCCACACCAAGGGGAGAGTCGGGCAGCAGCTAAAACATGGGAGAACCAGGGCCCCAGGACTCGAGGTGGACACGGGGAGGGTGGGGGACACAGCAGAGACCCTCATGGAGCCCTCCTGCCTTCCATGGGGATATGTGTGTGGACACAGCTGCACAGAAAACAGGCCGAAGGCTCCATGACAACCTGCCACCAGTGTGACCTGGGGCCACGGAGCCGTCAAAGGGGACTGAGCCTGACTGACACCGTCTGGAGAAGCGGACTACCCAGGAGACAGAGGAAGGACGGCAGACCCACGCGGCCTGCGTGAGTCTCGGATCAGCAGGCCGAGTGGGCAGCCGAGAACAAGCAGAACCAGCGCTCTGCAGGGGTCAGGACCCGGGGGCACGATGAGCAGGAAGGGCCGACAGGACGTTCTGAGGGCAGGGAGGGTGGGAACATCTGTGTCTGGCCGGATGGGGGTTAACAGGGTAAACTCCAACCAGATTCACAGGCTGGTGCCCACAGATCTGCACGTTGCAGGCACGTGAACAATCCAAGATCCGTCAGCCTTCCCAGGACAAAGGTCCACCCAGTCCTTGCCCTGAGTACCAGCATCGGAACTGGGCCTGGGGGCCAGGGAAACTGAGAGTGGCCTGGCTGGGCACAGGCTCAGCTTGTGACCCAGTGGGCACATCACAGCCCATCGCCTCTCTGAGCCTCTGCTGCTCCTCTTGCAAACGGGGAGAGGCCCACCCGCCTCACGGGCTAGGGGGGAGAGCGTGTGCGTGGGTGGCCCGGGACCCCCCGGCCAGCGGCTGGGCACTGACCTCTGTGGATCACGGACAGCTTGCTGTGCAGGTGCTCCAGGGCCCTCACGATCTGCATTTGGGACGGGAAGGAGGAGAGACAGGACGCATGTTATTCCCAGTGGCACCAACAACGACAGAGCCGTAGGACCACCGCCCATGGCCACGCCGCAGCCCCTCGCCGCCCCGGGTTCCTGCTCACACCCAGTGTCCTGGCAGATGCACCCAGCTTCCTGCTTTTCCCCGAGTGGGCCAGCGTCTCAAGATCAAGCCTTTACCAGGGACATGATGTACCTCAGAGCCCTGCAGAGTCCCAGACCTGTGAACCCCTGGGGGATATCACTGCCCCCACGAGGCTCCTGGGTAAAGCCCAGTCCTTTCGCAGCCTCCCTGCCTCCTCTCCTCTCCCTCAGCAGAGTCAGTGGACCACGTGCTCAGAGCCATCCCCACAGGAACTCCCCAGGATTCTCGCTCAGTTCTCAGGCAGGGGTCTATTTACGTGTTCCCAGGTGTGGTCAGGACTGAGAACCGCCGATTCACTGATTCTATCTCCTTTTTCGCTTTGGCTGCCACGACACTCAAGCCCAGGGCTCCAGCCCTGCTCTAAGGATGTACAAGCTGAAAAGGCAAACTTCTGGATGCTAACCTCCCCTCACCCTCACCCTCACCCAGACCCTGTCTGAGCCTCTGCGAGCCACCTCCAGGCAATCTCGGGATGAGGAAGTTGCCCAGGAGGCTCGGGAGCCGCACAGAAGGCGATCCTGAACTCCAGGGGCCCCGGGCCCCAGGACCTCCTCTGCAAGAAGGGTCTGGTCGGGGAGGGGAACTTCTGGGGGACAGCTGCCTGGGTTCAGGGCCACACAGAGGCTCTGCGCCTGCTGGGGCAGGGCTGGGGCTTCTGGCTCTGTCCCTGGAACCCCGACACCACCCAGGCCTGAGCCACTTACAGACACAGCAATTTCCCCCAGAATGTCCTCTGGAATCGTCATTTTTTTATCAAGCACCTTCCGGTAAAACTTGTCCAGGGAAGTGTCCATGAGCTCCATGCAGATCCACACGTCTCCCTGTAGGTGGACGCCCAGAGGTCAGCCACGCCCGCCCAGGGCTGTGCCTGCACCTGGACGGCCCCCTCTGGCGCCAGCATCCTCCTGGGCTCACCTCCCCTAGCCAGCTGGCTTGCTCACCACACCCACACCTCTCGGCCCTCAAATACTCACTGATGCCCGAGCTCCTCCCACTCTGCCTCCCAAAACCTCTCGATCCGCCTGCTTCTCCACCTCCCAGGCGTACTGTTGGGTCCACACAGCAGCCTCCCCCGTCTGACCCCTCATCCCATGGCAGTTTCCAGGGAGAAGTGACCAAGACACACGTCTGACTGTATCCCTCCAACATGGGCTGCTGTGACCCACCTGTGCCGGCTCAGTTCCAAGACCCAGCCCTGCAAACCCCTCCCACCTCAGCCCGGCAGCCCCAACAACACACAGCTCATCCCAGCTCTGACCTCCTCCACCTGCAGCACGCCGCCCCCACCCCCTGCCCCCAGTAAATCCCTGCTTATCCTGCAGGACAGCCTTCTGAGAAGGCCAGGGGCAGCCTCTCCCTCGGGCGCCCCCCAGCCCCTCAGCCGCCCTGCCAGCTCCAGCCCGGCCGGTGGTGAGGCTGGGTGAGTCTCTCCCTGGCGGGTACGAGGACAGACAGCCAGTCCGGCATGGGTGCTCAGCCAGTCGGGTGAGTGGTCAATGAGGGCTGACCCAGGAAGCCCAGGGACCCGGCAGGTGCTCAGGGAGCCCTGCCCTCGCCCCCTGGACCCTAGGTGGTGAGTCACCATCACAAACTCCACGTCTGATCTGGGCACCTGGCCTCTGTCCCCACCTGACAAGGGCCCGTCATGCCGTCTGGCCGGGCTCACACCCTGGCACCACCCCAACTCCTCTCACCCACACCCAGTCGCTCCCACGGCCCAGAACTGGACCCTGGCTTGGAACTGAGCTTCCATGCCCAGAAGCCCCACACCGCAGGGCCCACCTCTCTGAAGAGGGCCCCATAGAAGGTGACAGTGTAGAAGCAGTCAACCGTCCGCATGTTGACGTCCAGGTCCATGAGGAGGCGCTTCTGCTCCTGCGAGTTCACGGTGGCCCGGATCCGCTGCGGGGAGTGGGCAGTCAGGGCCATGCGGCAGGGCACCCCCCCAACACCAGGCCAGCCCCATGCCTCCTCCAGGAAGCCCCCCCGGGTGCTCACCTTCACGGCCATGATGGTGCCGCTCTGGGCATGCCGCACCTTCTCCACCACCCCATAGGCCCCCCGGCCCAGCTCCGAGATGGGCACCAGGTCGTCAGCTTCCACCTCGAAGTTCTTGGGGGACAGGAAAGAGAGAGAGGGCTCGTGGGGGCCAAGTCAGGCACCAGCCCTCCCTCCTCCCCTGGTGGAGGCAGCTGGGGCAGCAGAAAGAGAGGACCACCAGCCCATCGGATCTGTTTTCAAGTCCTGCACCAACCGCTTCCTGCTGTGTGCCTGGGACAAGTCACCTAACCTCTCTGCGCCTCCTCACCTTGTACAAGGCAGGCACAGCACCAGCATCCAAGGGCTGCTGCAGGTGCAGGCAAGCCCACCTGCAAGCAGCTCTCAGCAGGCGCCTGGCACTCGAGAGACGCTCCTTCCCGCTCTCCCCGACCCCACCCGGTGGCCAGACTGACTCACTCATTATTCAGCACCTACTGCATGCAAGTCCCTGTTTCAGGCGCCGGGGCCGTAGAGAGCACAAGAGGCAGACAAGGGAGTGAGCAGGGGGACAGACCCACAGGTCACCCAACGGTGACAAGTGTCGGGGGGACAAGAGGGGGACTGTCAGCCGAGGAGAAGCTCCAGAGTAGCCTCAGCACGTCCACACACGGCCCCTAAGCCAGGATTCTCACACCAGCAGGAGATGTGCGTGAAATGCAGGTTCCCAGGAACCAGCCCTGAGGGTGGGGCCTGGGGTCTGCATGCTCAACACACCACTGCCACGGTGGCCCCAGCACCCAAACTCGGGGGTCAGGGACTCCATGCCAGCTGCGGCTCACCAGGGCCCCAGGAGGCAGCCACCACCTCGCTCCTCTCCGAAGGCCAGCTCCGTCCACCACCCATCCTACGGGGTCGCCTGGACCCACTTGTGAGATGAACACCATGAGGCTCAGAGGAGCAAAGGCCATGCCCAGGGTGGGCCAGCACCTACCCTGTCTCCAATGGTGATGAAGGTCCGGGAGTCCAGGTTCCGGGGGGGCCTGCAGGGAAGAGCAGAGCCTGTGAGCCCTAGAGACCCACACCCTCCGAGAGAAAGCAGACCAGCCTGGCCATGTCCTGTCTGGGCACCGGCCAGAGCACCGGCCCTCAAGGCCCCTCCACTCACAGTCGCTGAGCACTTGCTGGGCAGACACGAGCTGCATCACTCAGATGCGGCCAGAGCCTTGCCTTCTGCCTCTCAGACCCACAGCAGCCTGCGTGGAGGAGGTGCCACCCGGAGGAGGCTGCCCAGCTCCCACCCCCACCCCTTCGGGAAGCTCTCCAGGCAGAGCCAGAGGGGGAACTGGGGCAGACTCACGTGGGGCTGGGCGCCGGTGGCTTGGACACACAGGTGATTCGTAGATCCTTCTTCCTCCGGGATTTTCCTGAAAGGGATGGGAGTGTCTGGTCAATCACTGGTCAGTCAACAATCCTGGGACAGAGAGGAGTCAGGCCTGCACCAAGGGCACACACACAGATGCAGACGGTCAGTGTGGTCAGTGCTGTGAGGGGGCCCTGGGGCCTCCGGGCACCCAGAGGACACGCCTGGCCCAGGCCAGAGGGCCCGAGCCCTGCTGGTCCTCAGAGGGGACGGCCATGGACAGTCACCCCACAGCCTCCTGAGAAAGGGAGACGGCTGCACCGCGGGTCTGCCCCCACAGCCCCCATCAGACCTTGTGCTCCCGCCACGCCAAGTCCGACATCCCAAGTTTCCGTTAAGCCTAAACTATGTCCCCTGAAAAGTCCACATGATGTCCTGACCCCAGTACCTCCGAGCAGGACCCTATGTGAGATTTACAGAGATGATCAAATTAAAATGAAGACATTAGGGTGACCGGTGTCCTTACAGAAAGGGGGAATTTGGACACAGGGACAGACATGCTCTGAGGGAAGCTGATGTGAGGAGACACTGGGAAAAGAGGCCGTCTGCCAGCCGAGGGGCGAGGTGGTGCCGGGGGGCGAGGCAGGGGTGCCCTTCCCCGCGGCCTCAGTGGGACCTGCCCTGCTGACATCTTACTGGGCTCTGGCCGCCGGACGTGAGACAGGAAGTCTGTTGCAAAGCTGTCCGTGTGCGGTGCGCTTTGCCCACAGCCCAGGGGAGTCAGCAGGGCCTTCATCCCCACATGCAGTGCTAATCTTGGCAGGGGCACCGCCAAGTCAGGGCTGATTTCAAAGTCCCAGCTCTGCCGCCCACCTCACTCCCTGAGCCTCGATGTTGCCACTGTCAAGATGGAATGCAGACATGGGCTGGGGGCCAGGCACGGGCTCAGAGCACAGACAGGCAGCAGCCAGGACCCTGTCTGTGTGACGCCCTGCCTCTCTCGGCCTCAACGTCTCCCCAGCTGCACACGGACCCCAGAAAGGGCCCTCAATGGAGAAAGCGTGAGGTGAGGAGACCTGACCCGGGGGCTCGGCCCTGCAGCTCAGATCAGAAAACTAAGCCCCAGGGGCCAAGGGCAGGATGGTGAGTCGGGAAGGCCAGGATGTGAACCCAGGTCTGTGGAATGAGGGTACTGGACAAGGTGTGCTCCATCGGCCACCACGCCCACCTGTGCTCTGGACTAGCCCCCCTCCACCTTCAACACAGCCCTCCCCGGGGACAGGTGGGGAAACAGGCCCCTGCGCCCACGGCCACGCCTGATGCCATGCCCTCACAGCTCACTGCCCCCGAGCCGAGCTGCAGAGGCTGGGGTGCCTAGGGGCCCACCTGCCTGGCCCAGGGAAGTGGGGGGCAAGCCCATCAGGCCTGCAGGATGGACCCACAGCCTCATCTCAGTGCCTCTCTGGGCCTCAGTGTCCCCATCCATGAGAAGCACCACCCCCAGCTCCAGAGAACAGGGTGAGGGGTGAGAGGGGCCTGGTGGGGTCCAACCAGCACCAGCAACAGGCACCATCCAGGGCCTCATGGCCACAGGCCACACCCCAGGTGGGAGACACAGGTCCCCAAGGAGGACACCAGAGGCACAGGCAAGGCCAGGACTCCAAGCTGGGCTGCCCCTAGGGCCACCTCTGTCTGCGCCCCTCACCCTAGGGGCCAAAGCCCGGGGTCCATTCAGTCCACACCTGCAAAGTTCCTGCCTTCGCAGCTCTCCTCAAGGACGCCCCAGGAAGCCCACTGCCCTCCCCAGGGTGCTGGGTGGGCCTGAGCCCTGAAGTAACCCCTCCCTCACCCTCAGCCCCTGGGGAGTGGCTCCTGTCCAATCCCAGGGTCCCTGCCTCTCTGGCCAACTGAGGGAGTGTGGCCAAATCCGCCACATGCAGTCAGTGTGTGGAGTGTGGTGCTGAAGAAGAATCAGCACCACAATCGCTGGGCACGGCAGGGGGGCCTTGGCCACACTGCCCTCTGAAGAAGTCAGGGGTCACTGCGCAGGCGGGAAACCAAGGCTAGGAGACGGCAGGGAGCCCAGCACTGCGGAGCGGAACCAGGAGGCAGGGTTCCATTTTCCAGACAAGAGAAGTAACTTGCTGGAGTCACTGAGCACGTGGGTGGCAGAGCTGGGACAGTCCATGACTTCCCGAAACCACCCAGAGCAGAATCGGTGCCCATGTGCCTCTCCTGCAGGACCGTCCCCACCTCCCTGCACGGCCCTGCCACCCGCCCCGCAGCACCTGCCACAGGTGTGCACACAGCACCTGGAGACCCCAGCCCCCAAAGCCACCGCTGAACCAGGTTTGGATCGAGCCTCATCACACCCCGCTGTGCAGCCTCAGCGCGTCACCTGTGGGCCCAGACGGGCCACACACTCCAGCCCAGCAGCAGGCGGGGGCTGGCACTGCTGCTGAGTGACCAGAGGGGGCTGTCAGTGCCACTGGGAAGACCAGGCCTGGCCCAGCTGCCCTCAGAGCTGCATGAACCCCAGGAAACTGCGGGGCTGGGGTCCTAGCATCTGCCTGGGGTGGGTGCACAGAGCAGAGGTGACGCAGGCGGACCCCTGCAGCCCCACCACAGAGGCCGCCCCAGGGGCCCCCAGATGCCACGCTCGAGGTGCGTCCACCTGTGCCCTGGAGGCCAGCAGCAGTCTCAGTCGTGTTCAAAGGCCCTGGCCCAGGAGGCCCCAGGTCACAGTCCACAGCCCCGGGGGGGCCCACTTCCTCCACACCAGCCTCGGCTCCTGGGCAACTCTGACACCAACAGCACGGGTTCTCTCTGCTACGTGTTTGAATCCCACCTTTGCCCCTCAGAGGCTGGGGGATCTTGGGCAAGTTCCCGCACCTCTCTGAGCCTCAATGTCCTCACCCATGCAGTGGGACACAAACAGCACCTACCCTTAGAACCACCAGGAGGTAAAGCACTTGGAACAGGTCCCGGCCTGCATCAAGCTACCTGCCTCTGAACCCCAGCCCAGGCGTGTGCAGGGCCCGACCCGGCGCCCACTGCCAGCTGCCAAACCGTGTGTGTGTGAAACATTTTCATCCTGTTTTCAAATGAGGTTGGTTGTCAGGACCCGGTGGTCTCACTCGGCCAAAGCTCTTCCCAACAGAGCAGCACTGTGTGTTCACACCCTTCCCACCTCCTCCAGATGCTCTGACAGCCCTGGAGCAGGTGCTCTTTACTTTACTTTACTTGGGGAAACTGAGGCTCAGAGGTGAAGTCACTGCACATGACTCAGGGGTCTGGACGGGAGTCATACCTGGACACCTCACAGGCCAGGCCAGCAGCTCACAGCACCCCTCCTGCAGGGGGCTTCTCCCTGCGGCCTCCCCAGGCTCCTCTGAGCCCAGCACAGTCCACATGCCAGGAGGAAAACAGAAAAGCTGGGGCACGCAGGGCCATCAGCTCCGGAGGCCACTTCTGTGCAGCCTGGGGTCAGATCAAGTCACCACCAGCCCCCGAAGGGCACAGAGGCCCTACCCAAGGCCTGCAGAGGCCACTGGCCAGGCTGGTGCTACCAGCACTGTGTCTGGCGCGTGGCAGCCTGGCTGAGACCTAGCACAGACCCCACTCCACACCCCTGTCCCCCGCTGCTTTGCAAGGGGAGGCCCGGGGCTGGCACACAGTAGGTGCTCCTATGGTGGCCCAGTGGTCACCGTGATTACTATCAGCTTCTCTGCAGAGCTGAAAAAAATCCATCCTGAGTAATGAAGTTACGAGTGCCTTTTATTCTTGACTGGATGTTTTAGTAACCAGAAAGTAAAACACTTTAAGTTACAAAGTAGCAATCCGCTTACGGGGTCTGCAGGCGCTCACAGCCCCACCCCTGCACTCTGCTCCCGGCCCCATTCCCAACTCTCTGGCTCTGCCCCCACACCCAGTCCCACTCTGGGATTTGGGAACGTCCCCCTCACCCAGCCTCAGTCTCCCTATCCGTCAAGGGAGAATTTGCACCTGCAGTCAGGGTGGGGTAAGGACCCCTGCGGCCAGGGTTGTGTAAGGACTCTGTGAGGCAGATGAGGTGCCCCGCGAAGGTGGGGATGGAGCCGTGGCTCGGAGCGTGGTCCTGGCCTTCTCACCCATCTGCCCACCTGGGTCCCAGGGCCACGTCTGGAGCGACACGGGCTCCATGGGGCAGCTGTGCCAGCTCTCAGGGGAGGGAGCAGCCACCATGGAGACAGACCAGAAACAGGCCTCGGGCCACCAGCCGCTGCCCACCATGGATGCCAGCACCGAGACCAGACAGCCAGGCAGCCCAGGTGCGGGCCTGCTGTGGCGACCGTCACCACAACAAACAGGCCTGTGGCTGCCACCAGCAAACCACAAGCCCGCCAGCCTCAGCTTGCAGGGCCCCTGGCGCTGCCGGGCGCAGGACCAGGCGTCTGTGTGTCCTCATTCTGCTCCAGCCCCGGCAGCACCACTGGCAGGCAACAAGGAGCCAGCCACGGCCTGCAGTGCAGGACACGACTTCCAGCACCACGACAGCCCTGCCCGGCTCCTCCCACTCACCACTCCTCCAAGGAGCCACCTTCTTCTGCAACTCTGGGCCTCCACAAGTTCTGTTCCCTGCAACTGTGTCCCAACAGATGATCCTACCCTTCCACCTGTTCAGAGGCTCTCCTGCCGCTCCAGCCGAGCCCCCTTGTCCCCTGGCTCTCCCCCATCCAGATGGCTTCCCTTCTGCCGCCCCTCATGGTCGTGGACCTGCAGCTACATCTCAGGCAGCACTGACTCTGGAGCCTGGGCTCAAACTGCAACTCTGCCAGTTCCCAGCTGTGTGCCCTCGGGAAAGTGGCTTAACCTCTCTGGGTATCATGGTTGCCAGTGTGACAGGGATCGTGGACCAACCTCCCAGGGTCATCAGGCACACCCAGCATGGTTCGGCTCGGTGCCACACCTCAGCAGTCCCGGCACGAGGAAGACTAGATGGAGCCATCGGGAACCCGCAGGACCTGAGGTAATGCCAGCCCGCAGCCCAGACAGCTCTCATTCACTCTCTCAGCAGCCCAGGAA